AACAAAAGTGCCGGTTGCCCCCCCCAGAAAAGCCACTGTGTGAGAACCAATGGAAAGGAGCCTGAGCTACTGGAATCTATTCCCTATGAATTCGTGGCATGATGGGTGTTAAAAATAAACTAATCTGTGGTCTATAAAAAAAAAATAATAAAATTAAAAATTTTTTTAAAGTAAAAAAATAAAATAAAAGATGATTTTTCTAACCCAATCTACAGACTCAGCAGAATCCTAACCGAGTTCCCAGCAAAGGTATCAACAAATTATATCATGTAGAGGTTTTTGCCTTAGGATGTGTGTGCTTGCTGGGGGAGGAGGAGGAGGTGGGGAGAGAGAGAGAGACAGTGAGAGGGAAAGTGAGAAATCACCCACCCCCCCACCCAGGGGCGATGACCACACTGTACTCCCTTCTCCTCCGTCCTCCTCCTGGGATCCCAGATACGTACACAGAGACAGGCATCCCCAACAAGGTTCTCACACTTGAGCCACATGCAGCCTCAGCCAGGCCTGGGTCCTGGTCACACATGCTGGATGTACTCAGGAAGGTCCCCTAGTTGCCCTTGGTGCCCATTTTATCCTACCTCCTAAACTTCAGTGCCCTAAACCAGAACATGCTGCAATACCCAGAGACCTCCCAGAGGAAGCTTCTGGGTGTAGTGCCAGACTACACTGCCCCACGGCCTTCCGGAAGAGGAACTCCAGCATCATGCCAGATGACACTACGTGGCAGCCTGCATCAAGAAAGGCTTTCAGGCAGAATGCCAGACTACCCAGAGGCCTCCAGAAGAAAGGCTTCTACACAGAGTCAAGAGTATACCTCCCAGAGATCTTGAGGAGGAAAGCTTCTGGGCAGAGCACCAGGCCATACTTCTCAGAGGTCCTGAGACATGGGGAAGAATAGATTATGTGGGTACAGGCACCCAAAGTCCCTGCTTAAATAACAGCAAGGTCACTCCAAGGACCTAAGAAAGGGTCTCCGAGACTCTAGCTGAGAAGCTGATGCATTCAAGGTGCTGATCGCCTAGGACACACAAGGCTGGTGTGGGTCACACGGGACTGGATGGACTCTACAGAGACTTTTTCAACTACCTGTCAGATGCTTTCGAAATGCTGGCTTTGTAAAAGAAGTAAGGCACAAGATAAATGTTCAAAAGACAGACTCCCTCGATGTGTTAGAACCGAATGTGGCAAAACGCTTTCGGATTCCATACATACCTTGCAGCAGTAATATCACTAAGCCTCAGTGAAGATAATCTAGAAAAAAAGCAGAACATGAAAAGAGTCTCTGACCAAAAGGACTCTTCCTAACACATCCGTATGTAAGAAGAGTTAAAAAAGGTGTTCGGATGATCATCTTGGCCATGCCCTGCAGAAAGCAATCAAGCCAAAAACACACAAACATCATAATCTTCTATGAGTGATTCTAGATGTGATCATCATTGGAGAGGGGAAGGAATTAATTTACTTTCACAGAATCACAAGGAATTCTTGGTAATTAAAACTCTGGAATTTTTCCAAATGGACTTTAACTTTCAAGTACGTTCGTTATGTGGGAAGAAGCTGGCATGGAGAAGTGAAGGTGCTGGATTCCCATGTGGCTGACATCAGAGCCCCAAAAGCAGTAGACTGAAAATCACACCAGCCGCTTGGCATGGGAGCCCTAAATCCCAAGAGAATAAAGAAAACCTGACTGCAGCCAGTCTGTACGCCGGCCTGGGGGGTGTGCCTCTAACCCTAACCCAAACCCAAACCCTAACCCTAACCTCCAAAGTCACCCTAACCCAAACCCAAACCCAAACCCTAACCCTAACTCAAACCCTAACCCAAACTCAAACCCTAACCCTAACCTCCAAAGTCACCCTAACCCAGACCCTAACCCTAACCCAAACCCAAACCCTAACTCAAACAGATATTTCCTGATCACCTCCAAAGTCACCCTAACCCTAACCCAAAACCTCCTGCCTTCATTTACAGGGGCCTGACCCTTACGCTGCAAACAAACCATGCTCACACTCCAATAATCACAAATGAAGCTTGGCAGGAACGAAGTCCCCATAACCCACAAGAAGGACACAAAAAAAAACGGTGCTGTGGCCAAACAGCACTGCCGTAGGTCCTTTCCGATTTCAGATTTAAATTACATAATATATGTCCAAAGGTTGTTACTTCTGTACTACGTAACTTTACTACAGCAGCAGATCCACACTAACACTCCTTTCCGCCCCTCGTCCTCGCAGTGAACAGCACTGCCCTGGGGGCAGGTGAGGCGGGGCAGCAGCAGTGACGGGGTCACAGCACAGAGCGCTGCCTTGCTCCACCGAACCATCTCCACTACTCTGGAAGTCCCTACAGCTCCCCATTTACCGACGAGGAAACTGAGGCAAAGCCACGTGGCCTGCCAGGGGACACAGAATCTTCACTCCTACCTGCCTCTGAAGGGCTCGCATCCACACCTGCCAGTCCAGTCCTTGCCAGCCTGTGACACAGCGCAGGAGCAGGGAGCCCGCCCGGCCGACCGCACGGTGCCCAAATCCTAACGGGAGGAAAAGACAGGAAAAGCCCACGTGCCCTCTGGCAGATAAAAAAGAGGAGGAGGAGGACAGGCCTGCCCGAGCCCCTCGCCTCTGCCGCCCCGCAGGCCCCGCCCCGCAGGCCCC